ATCAGTCAGTCAGTCAGTCAGTCAGTCAATCAGTCAGTCAGTCAGTCAGTCAGTGAGTCAGTCAGTCAGTGAATGATTCAGTCAGTCAGTCAGTGAGCGAGTCAGTCAGTAAATGAGTCAGTCAGTCAGCCAATGAACAAGTCAGTTAGTCAGTTAGTCAACCAATGAACAAGTCAGTCAACCAATGAACAAGTCAGTCAGTCAGTGAACAAGTCAGTAAGTCAGTGAACAAGCAGTAAGTCAGTTAGTGAATGAGTTAGTCAGTCAAACAATGAACAAGTCAGTCAAACAATGAACAAGTCAGTAAGTCAGCCAATGAACAAGTCAGTAAGTCAGCCAGTGAACAAGTCAGTAAGTCAGTCAATGAACGAGTTAGTCAGTCAGCCAATGAACAAATCAGTCAGTCAATCGGTCAAAGTGAACAAGTCAGTTGGTCAGTCAACCACTGAGCAAGTCAGTCAGTCAATCATTTAACCAATGAACAAGTCAGTCAATGAACAAGTTAGTCAGTCAATGAACAAGTCAGTAAGTCAGCCAGTGAACAAGTCAGTAAGTCAGTCAATGAACGAGTTAGTCAGTCAGCCAATGAACAAATCAGTCAGTCAATCGGTCAAAGTGAACAAGTCAGTTGGTCAGTCAACCACTGAGCAAGTCAGTCAGTCAATCATTTAACCAATGAACAAGTCAGTCAATGAACAAGTTAGTCAGTCAGTGAAAAAGTCAGTAAGTCAGTCAACCAATGAACAAGTCAGTCAGTCAATCATCACAGTGAGCAAGTTAGTCAGTCAGTCAACCAATGAACAAGTCAGTCAGTCAATCATCACAGTGAGCAAGTTAGTCAGTCAGTCAACCAATGAACAAGTTAGTCAGTCAATCAGGCAGACAGTGAACAAGTCAGTCCATCAGTCAACCAATGCACAAGTCAGTCTGTCAGTGAGCAAGTCAGTCAGTCAACCAACAAACAATCAGTCAGTCATTCAGTCTTTCAAAGAGTCAGTCAGTCAGTTGATGAGTCAGTCAGCCAGTGAATGAGTCAGTCAGTCAGTTAGTGAACAAGTCAGATAGTCAGTCAGTCAATAAACAAGTCGGTCAGTCAGTGAAGAAGTCAGTCAGTCAGTCAGTGAATAAGTCAGTCAGTCAGTCAGTCAGTGAAGAAGTCAGTCAGTCAATCAGTCAGACAGTGAACAAGTCAATTGATCAGTCAACCAATGAACAAGTCAGTCAGTCAGTGAACAAGTCAGATAGTCGGTCAGTCAATAAACAAGTCAGTCTGACAAGTCAGCCAGTCAGTCGTCAGTCAATGAAGAAGTCTGTCAGTCAGTCAGTGAACAAGTCAGTCAGTCCTGTTACTGTTAACGCAAAGAATATATTTGGAAATAAACACAAACGTTAAACCAACAGCCTGAACACCTCAGCTGAAGGGTCAAATTGAACTTTGTCAGTTTGCCAGCTGGTGCATTTTGAACTTCAAAAGTTACAGTCAAATAAATGTATAAATATGTGAAAGGAAAACTGAGTTTGAAAATGAGCTTGGTTAGACTGAATAATGAGTGCCAGATTTTAAAGAGATGGAGACTTCATATTTCATGACCATATTTATTTTATTTCTCTTATTCTATCGATCAGTCACTTTTCTAGTTTTACTCTGTATTTTATTTTTTTTAGTGCATCAGTCTGCCGAGTCATTTAAAAAAGGAAAAAAGAAAATCCTGAGCAACACAACAGGCCTGAATGGTCCTTTTAGTAAAGTCTGTCAGTCAGAAAGCCACACTCACTCCCTCAGACTTCTGTCGCCTTGCAGTCTGATGAAAATACTCACAGGAGACAAAACAAAGGTCCATTAAATACTCAATGCAGCCACTAATACAGTCTGCACTCTCCGCAGATTGGATATGTGCTTGTGGACTCAAAAAGCCGGTGACCCAGATGGCTACTGGGTTATGAGAAGCATGGAGTGTTTGTGTGAATGTCAGCAGCCGTGCACACTTCCTCCGGGTGTCCGCACAGAGTCACACTTCAGGTGAGCTGATTGTGGTGCGAAAATCTCTGCTGTGTGCACACATAGGCAGATATTGTGTGACCCCGGTTCAGGTCCGCAGGGAGAGTGGAACATGACTGAAGCTGGGCGTGCAAAGAGCTGCCTGGGCTGTGCTCAGAAACAGCCTCTGCATGTGGGATTAGTTTCATGCAAGGAGGCAGAGAGCAGAGGAAGCACTAATGTGAATCCAGCAGGCTTCACAGCGCTGGTATGTTAACGACACACCAGGCTTTGTGTGCACACACCCGAGTTTCTGTGCTCGAGTGTTATCTGGTAGATGGCTGTGTGCGCGTGAGAGAAGATGGAGCAGCGAGACACCGATTGGCTGTGAGCCCTTGTGAGGTGTGGCCAGAATGCTAATGCCTGCCTCCCTGCCCGCCTTTCGTACTGCAAGCTTTTGGGGGACAGTGACCGAGGAGGGATGGGATGTTTGAGTGTGTGTGCACGCTGGGGAGAGTGTCGGAGCTTGTGAGAAAGTGGGGGCAGGAAAGAAAAGGAAAAAAAAAGGAGTGGGGTGTAGAAGGAGAGAAAGAGCTTGTGAAAAAGAAGGAGGGAAGGAGCTTCAGGCTGCGAGGCTGGACCACCGCTCAAACACTGCAGTCTTTTGCTTCTGCTTCTCTGAGGAAAACCTGCCCAACTCTCCTTCTTACTCCTMCTTTCTTTTGCGGCGGTGCCATGACCCTGACGGACACCTTGCTCTCTTTGCCCACCTAGAGAAGAGGAAAGAGACGTTGTAGCGGAGGAGGGAGTGACAAGAGYAGGCGACACCACACACTTTGCCTCGCAGATGAGAGTCTGGAAATTAATTAACCGCCGTCAGCGCAGAGGGGAGAGAGCACAGAGGGGTAGAGTAATAGAATAAGAGCGAGTTGAAGAGGGGGGGACTTGCTAGATGTGTGAAGAATAGGCTGTGAAGAGACGCAGCGCAACTCCTTGACACTTTTCTGATGCAAAAAGGGACAAGTTAGGGTCGACGTGTGAAGTCAGAAGGAAATTAGGCAAGGCAGTGACTCCACAGGGATTCTAATTTAAAACGCCAAAGAATGATCCAATCACAAGCATCCTTCATCCTTTCATCCCTCTTTCCAATCCTCCTTTCACATTCATAACAGCATCCTTACCTCTCATTTCCCTGTCTCTTTCCTCTTTTTTTTAGTTCTTTCTTTTTGCATGTCAGCAAAAGCACATCACCAGCCACAGCCACACGCCGAACACCCAGACGCAACTGAGAGCTCAGTGGATGTGTCATTCATTTACTGAGTAAAAGTTGATTTAGCCAAAATCAGGGGTGTCATTACATGCTGGCCAGGAGCACCTGCTCTGGAAGTTCTCATGAGACCAGGTAGGACATTTCTGGAATATTTTTTTTGTCCACACTGAGCAGCTGGACAGGTTAAGCTCTCTAGTTGTTTATCTGATTGAACCTTTATGAGATAAAACTGCAAACCAGCTTATCTCGCAGAGCACGACACCTGTGTTTTAGGGATTACACATAGGGAACAGGGATGTGCAGAGGTACATGTGTACGGAAGGACTCTGTCCTAAAAGCATTGATTTATATGAGTATTCTCCATGAGATTAAAGGCAGGAATTCAATCGTAGCAACACGTTATCTCAAACAAATCAACTGAGATCAAGTAACTGCGCTTTGAATATAATAAAACCAGCATTCCAGGTTTTTTTTTCCAGGGGTCATAGTTGTTTTGAAATCCATCTCTCAGCTCTGGGTGCAGTAACTCCCTGCCCTTCATTGAGGACTTTACTCCAAACTGAGGTACACAGAGTGACTGTGAAAGACTTGTGAAGGCTCATTGAGTTTTCCATAATGAGACGTTCAAGCACAGACGAGACCCCGTACCGGCGCAGTCCGTCTCTGGACAGCAAACCCGACACACCACCCTTCACCTCGGGTTTCCACCGCTTCAGTGGGGAGTTTGAGTATAAGAGACCTCCTTTTGCGTTCGGCTTCCACACGACAAAGGGACCACAGAAGTCCAACGGGCGCTACGCCCAGGGGAAGAAGTATGTGGTGTTTTACCTGGACCTCTCCTTCATCTTCCTTCTAGAACTGCGGCGCTGCAGGATGGCCGAGGGTTGCATGATGGCCCTGCGCTATGGAATGGTCTTCTTCAACCTCCTTTTCTGGGTGAGTTTTTTTTTCTCTTCAATTTATTTTTTACACTTCAAAATGTACGAGTGAGATTTGCTAGACGCTTCTGCCTTTCTAAACTTTTTCTTTCTCTGGTACTGTGTCCTTACTTGTCTGAGTGAGCTGTCTTGTGTATGTGTGTACGCAGCCACAGAGGTGTTAGATGAGAAAGGAGGGGCCGTGTTGAGAAAAAGACAGTTCATGCATTTAGATCTGGTTTACAAAGCCCACTATGTGGGGGAGTGAAGCTTTTRCTGTTCCTGATATTGTATTTTCGGTGTGGGTGTACTCTGCATTGTTTTTCTTGTTAAGCCTTGGCATATTGGGAGCTTGCGTTGTGTGCAGACTTTAATCACAGTGTTGCCGTTGCACTGCCATCCTTCTCCTGCCTCTCCCCTCCCTCCCCGTGCACCAGTCCTCCTCGGTCCATCAGAGGATCTGCTGTCAGTCTGCTCTATCTGACTGATTGTATCTGTTTGCTGTGGGGATGTTTGAGCTCCAGTGTATCTGCCTCTGTCACTCTCGCTCTGATAGCCCCACAACAGATCACTTTCATTTGCACAGTGACGCCTGTCGCGTTCCCCCGCTGTGCTTCACATTTAAAGATCTTTAGCTTGTGTTTTTTTCCCCACTGCAAACTCCCACAGCGCGATTCATTGCAAGTTGTCACTGAGTTTTAAAGTGAATGCTGCGTCTGTAACTTGATTTGTCTAAGTGTCTGCTGTTATTGCCAGTGGAATGAAAGGAGACTTTGAGTTCTGAGATGAAACGTGGAAGAAAAAAATGAATGACCTCGTCCGCTAGAGATGTGGATGAATTTGTTGGTACTCGTCCTCGGAAGCAAAACAAACAGACAAACACAGCTGATGTGACTAAAGCTGAACAGCTCCAGCTTTGTTTCGTCAGTCCCCCGAAACTTCTCCCAAAAAGCCGGAGGTTTGTCCACATTCATTTCACTGACTTCCTGTCTGGCTTTTTGTGTTTTTCTGTCAGTAGTGGCGCCCTCCTGGGTATTCTTCCACGGAGTCCATTAGGATTAAAAATGTAAGAAGTGGTGCGATCAGAAAGTGATGGACTGTGACTTAGGAGTTCGGCTTGAATAATTTTGAATGGTTTCCTTTGCTCTTCTGCCATTTACGTCTGTCTGATCAACCTGGGGTTGCATTTTGTCTTGCTTCCACATCCTTACGGGCTGTTTACAGTCCCATGAACCTTTTTTTTATATATAATTGGCAACTGTGGTCACAGGAACATAGAGCTGCTTGGTCTTTACCTTTAACATGAATATAGACGATCTTCTCTCTGTACTTCTCAGAGAGCTCCATGTTTGATGTGGTGAGCACAATGACAACGTGTTGGTTCCCTTTAAATAGGCTGAATTTTAGATGAAAAGCTTGAAGGCATCTGTGATTTTAATTTAGGTCAAACACTTAATTTGAAACGTGTAATGCAAAGATTATTAGTCTTTTTAAGGATACCAACAACTCTGTTCATTCATTTGTAGCACATTTTGGTACAATAAACAACAAAGCATATCTTTTCACATTTTCTGTTTAGTCTAAGGCATCCAGATATAGATTAATTAGACAGTTGCTTTTAACTAAATCCCCTTTTCACAAGAAAGCTGTAGGACTACCATTGATTTTTACCTGCACACGTTTTGGTGTTTGTTGTTGTTAGCACAATCATGTCTAGCACTGCTGGTGATAAATAATGATCACAAAAAGAACATCTTCTCTTTCTGAAAAGTCATTTACATTTGGATCTTCCAGGTGAACAGAGAAAAGCTGTAATACCAAACTAGTCATTCAGAAGAATAAATCGGAGCCAGAGTAGCTCTATGTGCCATACTGACCATCCATATCCAGATTCTAAATGTCAAAATAAAATTCTTAGTTTTCAGATTGCCAATTGAGAGGGTTTTGAATGTAAGCTCAGTATTTTCTACACAGTGCTGTGGGTGGGTGAACACCACTTTCTGCTTGAGAACCGACAGGGAAAAAAATACAAAAAAAACAAAACAAAACGTTACTTTCAGAGGCGCACACAAATTAGATATTTTGAGAAAAAAAGATGAATGTGTATCTTATCATCTGCTCATATGGACCATAAAATATTTAAGTTAGCAAGATTTCAGCACCTCGACTTCAAGTGTTAACAAATTGTCACACTGAGATGAAATAATCTGTTCAGTAAAAGACAGCAGAGGTGCAAGAACATTTTTGTGACACACTTTCAAATATACTAGATACCATGTGTTGATAGAGTTCTACCGGCTTCACAGATATAATGACTTTCTTTATGAAAAGTGTTGATTTTCCCCCCCCATGTGCTCTCTTTAAGCTTAAAACTCAAAGCCTTTAAAAGGTGTATAAAAACCTCATCAAGCAAAAATGTTTACTTCTTAATGTGGCTTCCTGTAATCAGAAAATTGAATACAATTTTTTTTTTTTATTAACAAGAGTACCCATTATGAGCACTGAAGTACTCATATTACTATTTTATTCAAAATCTTTTATGAGCTTGTAAGATGTGGATGAAAAAAAAAACATTTCCCCACACATGATTAAATTTTAAAGAAATAAGTGAGAAAACCCAGCCCTGTTTGAAGCTCATATGTTTTACATTTGATCAAACATCACACTAAAAAGATCATTCAAATTTCAAACAAGTCACAACATTTGGACTTTATATGACCAAACTGGAATCTTGATATCCTTAATGATTTTTTTATACAATTCTAGCTTAAGTTTTATGATTCATAAAGAGTTTTTCCATAATATTTAAATGACAGTTGATGTCACTCTAAACTGGAGCTGTCCAAACTAGAAAAACTGTTGAAAACAAATTCCTCTTCCATATGGGGTGCCAAGTGTAAAATGAAATGTTAAAAAATTTCCCAAACACATTTTTCAATATTTAGCTCACTTTGAGTGAGATGATGACATCAACCTTGTTAGCTAACGCTAACTACTGCTAATGCTTCTAACGCTGCTAACGATAAAATTAAAAATCTAACTCAATATGCATTAATTGAAAACAATACGGATGGTCCAGCAGTTTGAAGTGAAGCTCAGACACCAATCATAAGATTGATGTCTTTTAGGTAAGCTTTAGCTGCATTGGCMCTCTAGCAGTTACCATTGTCCCAGGATGATGACATCATAACAGGAGCCCAGAACAAACTGCAAAGGCTGTGTTCCTTTAAAAAATACCTAAATATGAACTTCAACATTTCAGTTCAACGTTTAAAGTTTAACTTTCACATTTAGATTCAAACATTTGATTTGATTTGATTTGATTTATTTAACAGGAAAAA